TCGGGTCAAGTCTGGGCTCGGCCTCGGGCAGAGAATCTAAACTCTAGTGTACATCCTCAACTGACAGACCCAGTCAGAAAGGATATTTGTCTGGTATTGCTTCCACCCATTTTTAAAGTAATATAAACATACCGATTTCAGTGGCAGCCCCCACTCCTTTGATCACCTACTCCTGGGCTTTATGAATCATAACTGAATGTCTGTTCTGGCCACCCCATGCCTGTCATTACATTTATGCATGTAAAGTCCCAGTAAGTACAGTTTTCACAAAGCAGCTTCTCTGGCTCCTTCCTGCCAGCTGCCACGTGTCTCTGTAATGCCTCCTGCCCTGTGATCTGAATGAACTGACCTCAGTTTCATTCTCTGTATTATAGGAAATATGGCACATGTATGTTCTAGAGCAGGGGTTTCCAGTCATATTCACAGTAATGTGAACTTCTAAAAAGAAAATAATGGCTGGTGACGATGAGACTTGCTGACCATATTAATTCTCCTTTCACGTCTGCATGCCATGATAGCAAAGAGATCCAGTTAGTGCCCCAATGTTCACATATTTAAGCTGAATGGGATCTCAAGATAATGGCATTAAAAAGCAATTGCAAGCATGGCCGTTCTCAGCTTTCATATACAGCTCTGGAAAAAATTAAGGGACCACAGCACAATTTTTTGTTTCACATATTTCTCTGTTTATGGGTGCGCGTCTGTGAATAATAATATTGTAGCGCTGGGGTACCGGAGGGCAGCACGGCAGGTTGGACTGATACCAGCTTTGTAAATAGCTGTCGGTAGCTATTGTGTTGCTTTATAATTGTGCTGTGTTGTTGTGTCAAGTGTAGTGTTAAGTGTTTCCCATTATACATAGCATGTTGGGGAGTTTGTGTGTGTGTGTGTGTGTGCGTGTGTGTGTGTGTGTGTGTGTGTGTGCCCACCATGTGTGTTAGGAGTAAGCAGGGCAATGGGCACAGTGGGCAGAGGGCGTGTGTTGTTAGTGTGACTGGTATGGGTGCAATAAAAGCCATCTTGTGGTTGAATCCCAAACTGCCTCATCTTCATTAATTAATATAAACTATACGACTCGCTAACCCATTTCACCAAGATTTTTTTACAAGCTTCAGCCTAGTTTTTCTCGGTTTCTTGTTGACGAAAGGTTTCATCATTGTTTTTATGGGACTTTAGTCTTGTTTCTAGGAGCCTGACACGAACTGTCCTAGCAGTGCATTTCACACCTGCACTTAATGTTTCTCATTACTTTTGAAGGTCATTTGATGTCAAAAGATGGATGATTCATGAAAAAATGTCGGATAAGTTGATGGTCATCTCTGGCATTAGAAAGTTGTTTCTTCTCTCTACCTGCCTGGTTTTTGGTCAGTGTCTCCTGCTTCACCTTGTTCTTGTGTAACTGCTGTATTAGAAATTTTGAGCCTGGAAGTAAACTGCTGTGTAGCCTTCTGCCAGCAGAACCAAGATTAAACCAGGATTCAAAAATGCTTTTTTTAATGTGGAGCAGTCTCATTTTTTTCCAGAGCTGTACATAGTATATTTAGTGTAAACTGTTCTGTCTCATTAAAAAATGGTTTAACAAAGGAAGTGACACATTGACACTGAGGATCAATACACGTTATCTAGTATTTGCTAGCAAAATGGACAAAAAAAGAGAATATAAACGGCAAACATTGAGAATTCAGAGATGAATGGATGGACCATCAAACAACTTGGATATTGAAAAGCTTTCCAAAGACATACGGATGCAGAAATCACTCTAAACAGGTACAAAAAACAATGTGCTGTAAATATTCAGTTGGAAATGCAGCCTGGATTTAAGTAATTGATCAGTTTCCTGCATTTCTTTTCATTTTTTTTCCCAAATCAATTCACTTTGCAAAAGTTTACTAGCAAAAGTCTCTGCATTGGTCGAGAGTAAATTTATGGGAAAAGCTCCCAAACCCATTTATTTTTGTTTTACTAGAGAGTGCGTGGACATCTTATGCATTCCATTTATTATACTATATCAAAATGTATTCATTTTTTGCATGTGTATTACATTTATTGTCTGACAATATAGTTGTTACACCTGCTCTATGTATCTAGATCAGCAGCAGAAAAGTAATTTCTCCCTTGGAGACCAATGAAGTAAGCTTATCAACCTACACACTATCCATGTTATTTCATTAGAGTCCATTCATTCATTCATTCACTCATTCATTTTCTACACTGCTTTATCCTGTACTGGGATTCAGTATTCCAGAGCCTATCCCAGAATATGGCAGGGAAAATCCCAAGATGGGGAGCCAACCCATGGAAGTGGACACACACACACCATTCACACATACATTCACACCAATGGTCAGTTTTGAGAACCTGCAAACTCCACACACATACAGCTTGGATGGGCAGCCCCTGCACCAATTTAAATCACTTTAGAAATACAGTGCAGCCAAAAATTATTTGTACACTGTGAGAAAATGGTCAAAAATTGAAATAAAATTTAGGATATTGATTGTGAAATTTTATGACTCTTTTTCTCAATGCATTGTGTATTTCATCAGTTTTAACCATATTGGGAAACTCAACTAACCCTACAAATGCTTGTGTGGGGAATGACCACCAAGGCAGGAAACTAAGGGCGTCCAATTACCTGCCTATTGGAACATCTGCTGTTATGTGTTAAAAGATCTCTACTATGACTGGGAATTCCCCCCATTGTCACGTATTCATTCAGCTCTATGATTGGCCAGGTGTACAAATAATTGTCTGAAGGCAGTAAATTACATCATTTGAAAACAATGCCAGAATATGTTTCGATTAAAGTTTTGCTTGTTTCTTTACATATCACACATAAAAATTTGTTCTTCAATATCCTCAATTTCATTCTCATTTTTGACCATTTTTTCACAGTGTACAAATAATGTTTGGCTACAAGTATCATGAAAAAC